TACTACTACTACTACTCTCTCTCCTCCTCTCTCTCTCTCTCTCTCTATATATATATATATATATATATATATATATACATATATATATATATGTACATATATATATACATATTGGATTTAAGTTATTTAAAAACTTCCAATATCAGTATTTCATTATTTAAGCATTTTCACTATCTTTCGTATATTTTCAGATTTTTCATCACTTTATAGCTGCTTTAGTTTTTCCAATAATTTTTCATTTTTCAACTTTTTTTTTTGTTTTTTTTCTCTTTTCTCATCTTGTTTTTCATTTTCTTTCTTATTTTTCAATCTTTTTTTTTCGTCTTTTTCCTCTTTCCAATACTATACGATGTAATTCTAGCTCATTTCATACAAAATTTCCAAAAATATTTTATTTTTTCCACATTTTTTATTCTTCATTCTTTTTCTAAACAAATATTTTATTGTTTTTCGAAAATATTCGGGCATTTTTTTTTCGATGACTTTCTTTTCGATGACTTTTTTTTTCGGTGACTTTTTTTTCGATGACTTTTTTTTTCGGTGATTTTTTTTTTGTTGACTTTTTTTCGTTGACTTTTTTTCGACGATTTTTTTTCGATTCGATGACTTTATCATTTCTCAATATTTTATTATTTTCAAAAATTTTATCATTATTATTATTTTCTCTTTTCATTGTGGAATTATTTTTTGAAATATTTTATTTGCTATTTAATATGTCGCTTTATTTCTAATTTTAGCCTTTCAAGAAACAAAATTTTATATTAATTATTTATTTAATTTTCGGTTTTTTCAATTTCAAACACTTTTACAGAATTTAAAATTAGAAACAGATAATGAATAAATTGTTGCCAATTATCTTTCACATGATATGCATACATCATACAAATATTTAGAGTTGTAAGAAAATTGCCAAATGATTTTGGCTACGGTAATTGCATCATTAATTATGTCAGAAGTAGAATGATAAAAAGGAGAAGAAAATTTCAAGTTCAACTAAATCGACCCTACTTTTTCTTTCTTTCCTTTTACTCTCTACCTTTCGTTTTTTTACTTCCGCATTTATAGGTTCTTTAATTTTTGATTTTTGATTTTTAATTTTAACAACATTTAATAGATGAAAGATTATGAAAATTTTTACGCCCAATAAATGGAGCCAAAAATTGTGATTTAATTTTAAAATTGTTTAATTTAGAAGTATCGATCAGTGTTTGATTATTGTACTTTTCCGTTTATTTACAATGAATGAATCATTTGTAGATATATCAATTGGAAATTTGCTGTTTTTATGCATTTTCCATACAGTATTACTTTTGTTATATTGTATAAGCAATGATTCAATCATTGAAATATGAGCAGTCATCCGGAATCGCATTTTAGTTTTCCGGAAATTAGACAGTTGCATCTTTGAATATCCGGAACTCATGCTTACATGTATATATAATTTGTGAATTTTCGGTATTTTACGATAATTTCTCTTCGAAATTCATGTTTAAAAAAATCCCTGTTATATGCCATTCGTGAATTTTACCGGAATCGCATCCTTAAATATCCAGAATTCAGTCTTATAAGATAGGTTTTTCTCCCTGAAATCCTTAAAATCTTGAAAAAGTCGAAATACCCTCATGAACCAAAATTGAATATTTCATATAATGTAAATTTAAATTTTCGAATTGAGATTAAATAACCTCCTATGGTACCATCCTGTTCATACTCTAGTTCATACTCTAGCTCATACTATAATATCAAACTGTTAATTTTATGGTATCATTCTATTCATATCTGTACTAATCTATTTAAGAACAAATTTTCAAAAAAAAAGTCTTTAATTTTCAAATTTTTCTTTTAGGTGTGGAGCAATTATAACTGTTCCATTATTACTGGAATAACGTGATGGTATCATGGCATGGCAAAATATTTTCTGGTGCTAATTTACGACGTTTGCTAATTATTGGTGGTAGTGGTGTAGCAGTTACTGCAGCATTTTCATTATTACGATTTGATTTAAATGGTTCAGCTCGTTTTCGTACAGTTTTGGTAATTTTTGCTTAAAAAAAAAAGATCCACATAATTTTTCAAAAATTTAATTTCAAAAAAAATTACTTTCTTTTTTCAACAATTCCTTGTAAAAGGGTTAATTTTTATTCATACACCATTTACTCTGATTGTATTTCAATGATTTTTGGTAATTCTTTTTAACAATTATCATTTTATACTTGTTTAAGTCACATCCTTCAAGTTTTTAATTTTTCAACTATGATTTCAATTATCTTCAATTGTGAATTCCAATTCCACAAAAATGTCCATTACAGGCGGATAATGGAGACATTCACACCCAACTTAACAAACGACTCTCTGGACAATTGCCCACGCGGAAGGATTTAATTAAAGTATATTTTTACGTATGTCATTAACGTATGTCAGCATGTCATTAACGCATCAAAATGACTTAATGATTTTTTCTTTTTCCTTTTAACGAAAGTACAAATGTCATTAGTTTTACAGAAATCATTCACTTTTTTTTTCTTATTTTTATGTGGTATTACTTATTATTGTTGCCACATATTCAATTGACATTGTTGACAAATGATCCAAATGTTTGAGTTAATTATTCTTCCATTAAATTGTAATGAAATATTCTGTTAATTTACTAGTAAGAAAAATTCCATAATTTTTTTTTTCCCTATTTAGTCACTCAAAAACGACAAATTTGATATCCTTATAATTGGTGGTGGTGCAACCGGTGCTGGTGTTGCTTTGGATGCACAAACTCGAGGTATAAATAAATAAATAAATAAGTTTGTAATTGGATAAATGAAATAACTGAAAAATGAAATTAACTTATTTCGTTCTCTTTTTTTGAGAAAGGAAATTCATATTTAAATATTTGAAAACATATGCTACATTATGATCCTATGGCTATCATTTGGTTGGATAGAATGGGTAAGATGATACAATAGGTTAAGTTAACATTAATTTATTTCATTCTTAATTTTGCATATCCACCATCATTTCACATATTCATTTTTTGAAATTTCATTGCGATGAATATAATTTAGTTGATAATACAGGAATAGAAAGGCATTATTTGAGGATAATATATGGGTTTTTAATTTCGAAGAAAACAACTTTTGGCGTACATTAATTATATTGTTACATTCATTTCAATTTTATTTCAGATAACGAAATTCTTTTTGTTTTTTCTCAAGAAAAATTAAATTTTAAGATTTTATTCAAAAATAGATTGTATATCCTAGGTTTTTATTTAAGAATTTTGAAGGAGTCAAAAGTTTTTTTATTCAATAATCATTAAGTGATAACTAAAAATTTTAGAAAAAGACATTGAAAAACTGCAGGTCTCAGAACAGCCTTAGTTGAACTGGATGATTTCTCGAGTGGTACAAGCTCACGAAGTACAAAATTAATACATGGTGGTATACGTTATCTTCAAGCAGCAATATTTGGTTTAGATATTGAACAGTATCGGATGGTTAAGGAAGCTTTATTCGAACGTGCTAATCTCATTCATTGTGCACCTCATCTATCATATCCATTACCGATTATGTTACCTATTTACAAGTAACTGTTCTATGATACATTTTATCGTAATCATCTCAATTACATAATTAGTAGATTTCTGCACGTCTAATTAATATGGATGTATATTCGACAATTGCATCATTTATAATACATATCTAAAACATTTTGAACAATGAAATAGTATCATTAGTAAATATGCAAGGTAGGAAATTGATTAGGATGACAAAAAAAAAGTGTTGCATTTTGTTAACTCTCTGAAATTTGTAGTTGAATTTTGTAGTTGAATTCAAATGGAAATATTGTTAAAATAATTTATATAACATCTTTATGGGAGTAAGTAATTTTAAAAAATATTGGAAAAATACCCATAACGTTCATTGTTAAACCCGAATTTCATCTAATACATATATTGCCTAGAAGTATCGTGTATCGATCATTTTGTCGATCATTCTGGTATCGATAACTCTATCTTGCATGGCTTTTCTACAGTTGACTTGAAGCTTCTCATATGCATATTCTGTCGTGAATCCCTAATTGCCTAACTTTAGCTTGTCAACAATTTGGCTACATCGGGACGTTATAAAGTATTGTTAGTAATGAATTGTATGATTTTGTATCAATTTTGTAGAGTGTTTATTTCAGATTATGGCAAGTACCATATTATTGGTTTGGTGTAAAAGCATATGATATTGTTTCCGGTCGACGGGTATTGAAAAAGTCTTACTATATAAATAAGACGCAAGCACTGGAGCTTTTTCCGATGTTGAAAAAGGAATCATTAGTTGGTGCTTTGATGTATTATGATGGTCAGTTAATTAGACATTTAATTTAGCTGTTTTTTGGAAATTTGTTTCGAATCTTTTTTCAAAATTAGAAAGTTTATATCTGAATACGCTTAATTATCTATTATGAAATTAGTAAATTTAAAATCTTTAAATGAATCTTCACAATTACTTGTGTAAACAGTGTAACATTCAATAGATTCCTTGAATTTACACTTGGAACTTTCATTTTAACTTTGGAAACTCGTCATTATTATTGTTGTTATCGTTATAGGTTTAGATATAGCAATGAATAAAATTTGATACGAAAAAAAATAAGCCTATAAGTTAATTAGCTAATGGAATTTACTAGATTTCCTTAATTTAGGTCAGCATAATGATTCTCGAATGAATATTGCAATAATTTTATCCGCAATACGTCATGGCGCAAAAGCCGTAAATCATGTCAAAGTTAGCAAACTGCTAAAAAATGCAGAAGGTATGGTATGCGGTGCTCATGTTGTTGATACTGTAAGTTATCTAATTAAAACTTCTCGGTTTGAATAATATGAAGCGGAATTCTTAACTCATTGTTATAGATCAAGTTAACCGATATAAGTGAGGTATCAATGCCAAATAAATGCTTTAGGAAGTCATCCAATGGATTTTTCAAGTTTGTACGGTTTTCAAAATAACGTAGAATCGTTATAGTCGATTGTAACATTAGCAGAAAAGATGATTTAGAGGATTTAGAACAATACAACAAATCTAGTTATCAATTTCGCTTTCAGTTAACTGGTGAAGAATGGGATGTAGAAGCTAAGGCTGTGGTGAATGCTACTGGTCCCTTCACTGATTCAGTTCGTTTAATGGCTGATCCGGATACTGCACCGATATGTCAGCCATCAGCTGGTGTCCATATTGTACTTCCTGGATATTATAGGTTAATTAGCTTGAAAATATTGCAAATTAATTATCCAGTTACTTTTCGCAAGATTTGTTATCTCTAATTATTTCAGTAAGCATTTTCCGAATCGATTTATTTCACCTATTCGTTATTGCTACTAATATTATTTTCAAATTATGCTATGTATTGCTTAATAAATTAAATATTTAAATATCACTTAATGATTTAAATGAAGCATTATCAACAAATTTTAGTCCATCTTCGACAGGACTACTTGATCCTTCTACGAGTGATGGTCGTGTGATATTCTTCCTTCCATGGCAGCGTATGACTGTAGCGGGAACAACGGATGCACCAGTACCACTTACTTTTCATCCATCTCCAAGTGATGTTGACATTGAATTCATTCTCCGAGAAATAAGGAATTATCTTTCAAGTGATGTTAGCGGTACGGATTTCTCAGAGTTTTTGTTAAATTTTAGTTTTAAATTTTCAAATTTTAACTCGTAGAACTGTGTTAATTTGGCTAATTTTGTTCCAAGAAATGTTTGAAGTGTTTTGTCTGTGGTTTCAGTTCGCAGAGGTGACGTAATGAGTGCATGGTCAGGTCTAAGGCCACTAGTGAGAGATCCTAATAAAAAAGATACAAAATCATTGGCACGCAACCATGTCATCGAAGTTTCAAAAAGTGGATTGGTGACAATTGCAGGTTTAAAATTTCTCACCATTACTTATCTGATAGCGAATGCACACTATTTCCCAAATGGCTGTACCGTAAATCACATTAGAATCGTGTTGTTTTCACCATTTGTTGAGATGTAACACTCTCTTACGAAATGGTTATCATTTTTGTTGATAAATCTTAGACAGATTAACAAGATTCAAATTCTTCCGCCATTAGTTTGCATTTTAGGCGGAAAATGGACAACATATAGACATATGGCTGAAGAAACAGTCAACAAAGTGGTTGAAGTTGCAAATTTACAACCAGCGCGAAAATGTATCACAGCCGGATTACTACTTGAGGGAGCACATAACTGGGATCCACTATTACATATCCGTCTGGTGCAGGATTATGGTCTCGACGAGGACGTATATTTTTTAACAAATAAATTCTTGTTACTTTTTTGGTTGCACGATAGTAGGGATAGGAGTAAAAAAAATGCTTAGGAAGACTAGGGAATAAGGAAAGTGGAGAAAACTTTTTTCTTAGAAATGTTGATTTGATTGGTTTTTTGGAACTAAATTTCAGGTTGCACGACATTTGGCTTCAACATACGGTGATAAAGCATTCGCAGTTGCCAGAATGTCAAGAATTACAGGAAAACGATGGCCGATTATTGGGCATCGATTGCATTCAGAATTTCCTTATATTGAAGCTGAGGTTTTATCTTCCAAAATTTCCTTTTACAACCATCAGAAGTTATCCTTTTAGTTAGTTATTCATTATGCCGTGTGGCTGTGTAAGGAAAAAAAAAAGCAAAAACTGTTCAGATTCTGCTATTTTTAGACTCCTCATAGTATTAATCGTATGAAACGACGTCGTTAATCAACTAGTTGGCTAGCTATTTTGCTCTAATTTTCGAATTTAGTTGCAAGTGACACTTCAGAAAATTATCATTTCAGGTGAAATATGCGGTGAAAGAATATGCTTGCACTGCTGTTGATGTAATTGCACGACGTTTACGTTTAGCATTTCTAAATACATATGCAGCGTATGAAGTGCTTGATAAGGTTGTCGATATTATGGGTGAAGAACTGAACTGGTCAGCAGCAGAGAAAAAGGTACACATTCCTTTGATAATGAACTAATTTAGCGTTAACAAATGATAAATAAATTGACTAATTAAAAAATGCATATATATGTAATGACATGGTAATTATTCATATTTCAAGGCTTATATTTATAATCCTTTTTGATTTTAACAACAATAACTTGCTAATTTTTTTGTAATAGTCAAAAAACAACCAAATCTTTCTTATATGAAATATTTACCATATCTGCGATTGCTGCCTATCACATCAGAACTGGTCGATTACATGCGAAGTGTTTGACATGTTATGTGAAATTTGTTTGACAATGTTTTATTTTCTACATATATATATATATATATATATATATATATATATATATATATATATATATATATATATATATATTATTATTATTTATTATT